CCAAGTAGTAGAGGAGAATCAAGAAGCAAATTTCAGGCATAGCCGTATTGACTGAAAGCCCAGATGAGGCTATTCAAGGAGACTAGAGTTCAGAGAACAGACAGGTCAGAAAGAAGCCAAAGGAGTCCTGGGGTGATTGTGAGAAACACAGCTCATGTTTGGGCTTTGTGTTTAAAGTTTAAGTGCTGTTAATATATGTGTGCAAGTCACACTGGCTATGGGACTAGGGAGAGGTGAGACAGCCAGGTAGGCAAGGGACTGAGGCCACTGGATAAGATGTAGGGGGCTCAGATGCAATATATTTCTCTCAAGTACAACTATGATCAAGGAGCAAAGCTCTAGTCCAGTGGTCGGCAAACTCATTAGTCAACAGAGTCAAATATCAACAGGACAACGATTGAAATTTCTTTTGAGAGCCAAAGTTTTTAAACTTAAACTTCTTCTAACACCACTTCTTCAAAATAGACTTGCCCAAGCCTTGGTATTTTGTGCAAGAGCCACACTCAAGGGACTAGAGAGCCGCATGTGGTTCACGAGACGCAGTTTGCCAACTACGGCTCGAGTCCGTGGAGAAATCAGCAACTTGCTTTTCATTCACTCACCCTTTGCAGCCCTCATATCTAGTCATTCACCTCATCAAATAAAGCCTCTGGAACTGTTTCATGCTTCCCATTTCTACTAATTCCCATGGATATCACCTAAGTAGTAACATTTTAAAAAAATATATATTTTATTGATTTTTTACAGAGAGGAAGAGAGAGGGATAGAGAATTAGAAACATCAATGAGAGAGAATCATCAATCAGCTGCCTCCTGCACACCCCCTACTGGGGATGTGCTCGCAACCAAAGTACTTGCCCTTGACCGGAATCGAACCTGGGACCTTTCAGTCCGCAGGCCGACGCTCCATCCTTTGAGCCAAACTGGTTTTGGCAGTAATAACATATTTTGAATGGCCCAAAAGATTAGTTGTGCCAATTAATTTGTCCTTCTTTGGGGAATTTGAAAAAAAATTGTCAAATTAGCTATAAGGATTAAGAATAAAAAAGAGGGAACAGGAGCATCCATGATGGATGATTGTATGCAAGTTAAGGTATTATGGAACAGACACTTTTGAGTAAGTAGAGAGAGTCAGCTAATCAGTGAGGTGAACAGAGGGAACATTTAGGGAGAAAAGGAGACACCAAAACAGAGGTCTCTTGAAAAGAAACAGATAAAGTACCCAGTCACTAGAAACATCTCAATCACTTAACAAAACGATCTCACTTTTCCAGTTACTGTCTGCATATGGCTATAAAATAAATCCTCTCTATGAGTAAGCTGAGTTGCTATCTGCAACTTAATGAGCTACACTAAGTCAATTACAGACTTCAGAGTCAGAGGTACTGATGCTTATATATTTTTATTTTTTTTAAACTTTTTTTTAGAGAGAGAAAGGGAGTAGGGAGAGAGAGAGAGAGAGAAACAATACTAAGAGGGAAACATCAGTTGTTTGCCTCCTGCACAGCCTCTAATGGGGATTGAGCTACAGTCTGGGCATGTGATTCGAACCAACACTGAAAATCCAACCGAGCTACACGGGCTGGGCTGGGTGAGGTACTGAAATTTAAATTCACCTGTGGGTTAAATAGTAAAGACTGCGTGAGGTGAAGTATGTAAAGTAACTAGCACGTGACAAGTAAACAATAAGCACTCAAAAATGTTAACTCTTGGTGATACTGGGTTTTCTGTGTCCTCTTGGGTAGGCCCAAGTTGTTTAATCAACTGATTAATCCGGGTGTTGCTCTGGGGTATTTTGAAGTTCGGTCCAAATCCAATCGACTATAGTCTACTTAATGTGGGTGGGTCTGATCCAATTAGTCTGAGGTATTTAAGAACAGAACTGAGGCTGCTCTCCACAGAGCAGTTTCACCTGAGGACTCCAGCCCTGGCCTTCCAGCACGCTCTTCCTGGCCCTTCCTGCAGATTTGGGACTTGCTCTCCTACCAGCTCCTGCAATCAAGTAAGCCGATTTCTTAAAAGGTACCTCTTGCTGGCTTTTCTTATTCTGGGGGGACCCTGGCTGATAGACTCCGTCTCCTGCCAATTGTCCAAGCCTCAGTGTTTCATTGGTAGTAGGTGAAAAAGTTTGGTTACTTCCTCCCTCCCACCCTCCCATCCCCACTTAGGATGAAAGTTTCTAGACATCACAGAAAGACCCATGGCATTCCCTCTGCTGGACTTGTTTTACTGAAAATGTAGTGGCTCCTTATAGCTGTGGGATATTCTATATATTAGTAAATGAACACTGGAGAATGGGAAATAATGAATTCCTATTAAGTTCTAAGTCTTAAATGAAATTTTCTTTTTTTTAATTGTTAAAAAATTACAAGTTATACTTTGCAAAAATATATGAAGTAAAAAATGAAATTCTTTGTTTTTTTCCTTCAGCTTCCTCCTCCTCTCCAGTTTTCTTTCTGGAGATAGCAATTGCTAGCAATGTAGATTTGATCTCTTTAGCCTTTTTGCTAAGCATATATGTATATGAATGTTTGTGTTTAAAAAAAGGTCTATAGACACAGGCATACATACACATTAAAGCATACGTGAGAAGCTATAATATACAAAATCTTAAAGCAATTTTATTCTTTTAGCATATTTATCTTAGATATTTTTCTATATCTCTCTGTATACCTATATGTGTATATATATATATATATATATAACTTTACATCATTCTTCTTTAACTTGCTGCATACTCTTACTGAGTATGACTGTTCTATGATGTGTTTACCATTCCACTATTGACTTTCAGCTTCTCCTTACTATAATGTTGGCATAAATATCATAGTTTATGTAACATAGGGTGAATATAAAGGAGATATTTCTGCAGATTAGATTATAGGAGTTGACGGCCACAAAAGTATATGGGATTACTGTTTAATCAATCTTAAAATACTTTTACTGAGTTCATAAAGGTCACAATTGGGCCGTTTATCACTACACACAGGAACTGTGGAAACATATTAATGTATTTACTTAACATTTTATCCAAGGCCCAGGTAAATTTCAACCTGTTCTAGCAATACGTTCTTGATTTATTCAACTCACAATAACTTACCGAATTTTCTGGCGTATAAGACGACCCCCTAATTTTACAGTTAAAACATAGGTTTAGGCCTATACTCACTGTATAAGACTACCCCCCACTTCAAAGAAAAGACTTTGCCATCAAGATCTGCAGGTAATTTTTGTGCAATTTTGGTCTTTTGCCCCCGATTTTCAGTTGACTTTTTCGTTTCAAAAGTCGTCTTATATGCCGGAAAATATGGTATTCTAGAAATCCAAAAACAATTAAGACATTTATCATTAAGTCATATAGCAAGTTCTTCACCTGCATTGTAATTGCATTAATTTTCCCGCACCAATTACTGCAAGGCTGCTCGGACCACCTCTCTAACTCAGCCAATCCAAGCAGGCTTTTTATGCATGCAAATTATACATGTTCTGTACCCAAAGCTACTCTGTGTTCTAGTAAAAAGCCTACTCAGATTGGCCAGAGTCAGAGAGGCTTGTTGTGATTGGCTCACCGTGGTACATACAATTGCAGCACAGGAACGTTCTGTGTAGCCAAAGCTGCTGTATCAGGACACATACAGTGAGTTAAAAGGTACCGGAATAGAACATTCTGTGTGTAGCTGAAGCTACAGTACTGTATAACCCCGGCCTAAAAGATTAATGGGTGTACAACAAATGGCTGGTAGAAAAGAACCCATCATGGCTCCAGCAAGAAGGAAATTTGAAGCCAGTTTCAAACTGAAAGTTGTAAACTTTGCCAAGGAACACAATAACTGTGCTGCGGCAAGACAATATGGAGTAACAGAAAAGATGGTCCGAGACTGGAAAGCAAATGAAGATGCATTAAAGAGTATGCCAAGGAGTAAGTGTGCATTAAGAAGAGGCACCCCTTATTGGCCAGAACTCGAAAAGCATGTAGCAGACATGGTTCTTGAGCATCGTCAAAATGGTTATGTAGTGACACGAAACAAAATACGTATGTTTGCACTTCCGTGGGCCAAATCTAACCCAGATAACAGCAAAGGATTTAAGGCCACTGAATCCTGGAGTACTAGGTTCTTGGAAAGGCACAATCTGGAACTGAGGCAAAAAAACAAAATTGCACAAAAATTACCTGCAGATCTTGACGGGAAAGTACTACCACAAGAGGTCATTGATGAACTGTCAGAAGAAGAGCATGATGAGGATTTTGAAGGATAAGCTCACAATGCTCCTCTGCCTAGAAAAAACCTCTTATCGTCTCAATCAGTCAGTCACAAACGCATTTTCTGCAAGTTCTTCATGTAATTCTTTCCAGATGATGCCATCATTGTTAATGTTCTCTTTTGGATTTCTTGTTTCTTGGTCAAGTTCATGGCATTGCCATTTGTGAAGAGACCTTCCATTTATCGTATCAATGTACGGTATATTACGGAATGTTCGAAAAATGTCATTCATTAAAAATTTAATTAAAAAAAGAACTGGTGTTGCCTCGGAAGGCCTAAACCTATGTTTTAACTAAAATTAGGGGGTTGTCTTATACGGTAGATAATTCCAATCAAGAAGTTAGCTGCAACTTGATAGGGGGTGCTGAATTTCATCCATCCAAATCTGGTAACTAAAATTTAGTTGTTGAGGAATTGGGAATCTCCTGTTGACAAATCAACCTTATCCAAGGGCGCATGAAATCCTGGTGGGTGGCTCTGCTGGTTGGAGCGTTGTGATAGTGGGTTTGATTCCCAGTGTGTGTTTTTTTAAGTGAATGAATTTTATTTTATTTTTTAAAATATATTTTATTGATTTTCTTACAGAGAAGAAGGGTGAGGGAGAGGGATACTGGGGATGTGCCCTTGACCGGAATCAAACCTGGGAGTTTTCAGTCCACAGGCCAAGGCTCTATCCACTGAACCAAACCGGTTTGGGCTCCCAGTGTTTTGTTTTTTTTTTAAATAAAGTACAGCCCCCAGGCCAGTGCCTGAGACCTTGGCCCGGCTGACACCCTCTCAGGAGCCACCATGGTGGTGATCCCCCCAGGACTGAGCGAGGAGGAGGTGGCTCTGCAGAGGAAATTCAAGGAACTGAAGAGGAAGAAGAAGGCCTTGCTGGCCCTGAAGAAGCGGAGCAGCAGCAGCAGCAGCAGCAGCAGCAGCGCAGCCAGCAAAAGGACACGCCCGCTGCCGGAGCCGCCCGCAGTGGACGCAGCCAAGGCCACAGAGCAGGCCAGGCAACTGGTGAAGGCGGGGGTCGTGCGCGCCGTCAAGGCCGAGGCCAGGACCTCGGGCTTCAAGCGTCCCCGAGCCCGGGAGGGGAGGGTGAGAGACGCCGAGCAGGGGCTGGTGCCCACCGCCCCGCTGTTCCCGGGGAGCGTCTCTGCCCAGGACCTTGTGCAGGAACCGCCCCGATGTGCCCAGAGGCAGCCTCTGGACGGGGGCTCCGTGTCTGCCCGGGACTGGGTTCGGGTCCTGGGGCCGGATGGGAGAGCGACGGGGGACACGGGGACTGAGGGCGGCCCTCCTCTTGGAAGCTGTGAACGGGGCCCAGGAGCACCTGGGGCTGCCTGGTCCCCAGTCTCCCTTCCCCGAGGCCGCAGCCCGGAACGGGGCCGGGACCGGGGCAGGGAATGGGACTGGGACAGAGATTGGGACCAGGACCGACACCGACACCGAGAGGCCCCTGTCCGCAGGTCGGACTCGGTCCCTGGACGCCGGGCCCCTCGCAAGGGGAGCACGCTCCACGTGTCTGAGGAAGACATGACCCCCCTCCTCCTCCGAGGGGCCTCCTCCCCGTTTGGGAACATCATTGACCTCTCCGTGGACCCGCCCAGGACTTGTGCCGTTGTCCCAGATGAAGAGATGGAGACTAAAGACCAGGCCGAGCTCCCCGGGACCCGGGCGGAGTCCGGGCCGCTCGAAGGCAGCGGTGCCTTCCGTGCCAAGTGTGTGTGGGGCGCCCTCGCCGCCCGGGACAGCCCTAAGGGCTGCCACCGGGACAGGAGGACCCAGAGGGTCTACGACGATGACGATGATGTCTGCGAGGAAAACCTGGTGGATGGCTTCTAGGCAGCGGAGCTGAACTGTTTGTGCCCCGCCTGCCCCGACACTGGTCTCTGTAAAGCGCTGAGTTGGAAGCTCAAAAAACAAAAACAAACAAACAAAAAAACAAATAAAAAAATAAATAAAAGGGCCCATGGATTCTTTCTTACTCTAAGCGCGGTAACTATGCAGTTCTCAGATTCCGTGTTCTGGTCTGCAATCTCTGATACACTATTGTCTTGAATTCCCAGTCCATCTTAGATACTAAATTCTATTATTTTAGGTAGAATAAATAGAGCCCTGTAAAGTCTAGACTTGTTAGTCATAATGCTATGCACCTAGTAAATATAGGAGCAATGAATGAACAGATGAGGTATTTGTTGCTTATGAGGGTGGTTCTCCTGCTAAGATGCTCCATGACTGTAAATTCAATTATAGGAGTTGGGTTTTGTGCTGGTAAAAATTTGGGGGGAGGATTTAAGAATACAGGGATTTGCTTTAGATTAGATGTTGTGAGACAATGGGGGCAATTCCATGATTGGATCTATAAATTCTAAGAAGTGGTAGTTATTCATTTTAGATAAGAGAGGGGGGTATTTGGTATTTTCCGGTGGCTCAAGACAAAGTATGAAGTAGCTTTGCTCTCTCATTTTATTATGTGTTCAGAGTAATCTTATCTGAGGTTGGTGGTCTTTGAGATTGTGTATGTCCAACTGGAAAATACCATGGCTTTGATTGTCAGGTCAGCTGTTGACTATCAGGGGCTGCTTTTGCCCACTCTCAGGTGCTAGTAGAGAATTTGGAGAAAAGTAAATGAATCCAAGGAAACATCCTGTATGCAATATCTACAAGACTGCATATGGAGGGGAGGGTGAGGAAGTGATGCCAGGGGTAATTTCTAGGTTTCTGTCTCTTTTTTTTTTTATGGATAATTTATGAAATTTTATTTTTTTATTTTTTCCATTTAAAATATATTTTATTGATATTTTACAGAGACGAAGGGAGAGAGATAGAGAGCTAGAAATGTCATTGAGAGAGAAACATCAACAAACTGCCTCTTGCACACCCCCTACCGGGGATGTGCCCACAACCAACGTACATGCCCTTGACTGGAATCAAACCTGGGACCTTTCAGTCCGCAGACCGATGCTCTACCACTAAGCCAAACCAGTTTCGGCAACTTTTTCCATTTTTTATTAAGGTATTATATGTGTACATATCTTTCCATTGCCTTCCCACTCCCATACGTGCCCCTTCCCCCCCGAGTTTTTTAGTCCATTGGTTTTGCTTATATGCATGCATATAAGTCCTCCGGTTGATTTCTTATCTCCCCCAGATCTTCCTACCCTCCCAGCTGTAATTTAACAGTCTGCTTGTTGCTTTACTGTGTCTATATCTATCTTTTGGTTCATCAGTTTATAATGTTCTTTATTATCCATAAATGAGTGAGGTCATGTGGTGTTTCTCTTTCATTGACTGGCTTATTTCACTCAGCATGATGTTCTCCAATTCCATCTAGGTTGCTGTAAATGATGAGAATTCCATTTTTTTTTATGGCAGCATAGTATTCCATTGTGTAGATGTACCATAGTTTTCTGATCCAGTCATCTACTGACAGGCACCTAGGCTGTTTCCAAATCTTAGCTATTGTAAATTGTGCTGCTATGAACATAGGGGTGCATATATTCTTTCTTATATTGGTGTTTCTAGTTTCTTAGGATATTCCTAGGAGTGTGATTACTGGGTCAAATGGGAGTTCCATTTTCAGTTTTTTAAGAAACTCCATACTGTTCTCCACAGAGGCTGCCCCAACAGTGCAAGAGTGTTCCTTTTTCTCCGCAACCTCGCCAACCCCTGTTGTTTGTTGATTTGTTGATTATAGCCATTCTGGCTGGTGTGAGATGGTACCGTATTGTCGTTTTGATTTGCATCTCTCTAGGTTTCTGTCTTTAAACAGCGAGGATGGCAATGCTATTCACTAAGATAATACCAGCTTTGTATTATCTTCCAATTTAATACTTAATATACAGATGCTCCTCAAGGTATAATGGGGCTACATTCCAATAAACCCATTGAAAGTTGAAAATACTATTATAAATCAGAAATGCATTTAGTACACTTAACCTATCACATATCATAGCTTAGCCTAACCTACCTTAAATGTGCTCAGAATTATATTTATAAAATGCTGGCAACACAGTTCACTGCAGAGGATTGGTTGTTTAGCCTCATGCTCATGTGGCTGACTAAGAGTTGCTCAGCTTCATGAGTGTCAAAGTACACATTGCTAGCCTGGGAAAAGGTGAAAATTCAGAATTTGAAGTATGGTTTCTACTGAATGCGTATTGAGGGTAAAAACCCCTAATTCAAACTGTCATCACTTGGGGACTATCTGTATGTGAAAAGATAACATTATCATACCTATATTACAAATGCGAAATGAAGGTTTTATAGAGGTCCAACTGTTGTATGGAAGCAGAACTCAAATACAAGATGGCTGGACTCCACAGTTATATAGAGTTTTTTTAAAAAAATGTTGAAATAAAATATACATTTATGTGAGTTTTTACTATTTTAAAATATACAATTATTCGATACGTGATTTTTAGCATAGTCACTGCTGTTGAATTCCAGATCATTTAAAAATCTTACCTAATAAGAGAAACATGCAAATTAACCATCACTCCACTACACCCACTGGTAATTAGAGTGAGTACGGTATACAAATTAACCCAAAAAAGATGGAGGTTAATTTGCATATGCAGGCGCAGAGCTGAGTGAAGCCTGCTATGAGGAAGCTATTGGGATAGTGCTCCAGACAGAAGGGAGGATGTGCCAGCTCCCAGCGGCCTGGGAGCAGGGATATGCCTGCTGCCAGCCACTAGGCGGCCGGAGAGCAGAGACTTGCTGGCTCCAGGGCTGCTGGGAGTGAAGCCAAGGGCCTATTCTTGCACGAATATTGTGCAATGGGCCTCTAGTATGTACATATTTTTCTTGATATCAGAGAAGAGGGGAGAGGGATAAAGAAATACAAACATCAATGATAAGAGAGAATCGTGGGCCGGGACCGGTTTGGCTCAGTGGATAGAGTGTCGGCCTGCGGACTGAAAGGTCCCAGGTTCGATTCCAGTCAAGGGCATGTACCTTGGTTGTGGGCACATCCCCAGTAAGGGGGTGTGCAAGAGGCAGCTGATTGATGATTCTCTCTCATCGATGTTTCTAACTCTCTATCTCTCTCTTCCTCTCTGAAAAATCAATAAAATATATTTAAAAAAAAAAGAGAGAGAGAGAGAGAGAATCATGGATTGGCAGCCTCCCGCCCCCCACTGGGGATCGAGCCCACAACCTGGGCGTGTGCCCTGACTGGGAATCGATTCGTTGACCTCCTGGTTTATGGGATGACACTCAACCACTGAGTCACGCCAGCTGGGGTCGTCTTTTAACTTTCATACTATTGTCCTTGGATGCACAAAAATTTTTGATGAAGTTCAATTTTTGTTTTCTTCTTTGTTGCTTGTGCTTTTGGGGTCATTTAAGACTCATTCTGAAGTCATGAAGACTTCAACTTATATTTCCTTCTAAGGCTTTTATGGTTTTAGTCCTGACATTTAGGCATTTGATAAATACTGACTTAATGTTTGTGTATGGCATGTGGCAGAGGCCCACATTTACTCTTTTGCATACAGATATCTGGTTGTCCCAGCACCATTTGTTGAAAGGACTTTTCTCCCATTAAGTGGTCCTGGCATCCTTGTCAGAAATCACTTGAACATAGACGAACAGACTAATTTTTGGACTCTGAAGTCTATGTCATCATACTGACTTTTAAGTTTAACTTTATAAGTCACTTATAGAATTATTTTTAAAACATTTTATCTCCAAAGCTTCCAAAATTAGCTGTCATTTATTTAGTTGATTGAAATAAACCAGAATTAAATTTGCTGTGGAAAAAATTACTAAAAATCAAGAAAATGGTTTTATAGTAACATTATGACATGTTAGGTATGTTATAATTATATAGTTTGTTAGGATTCATTTCTAAAGGTATAAATTTATGAGACATTAAGGAATCAATTTTAATATATCTGAAAAAAAGTATAACAAAAATATAGCATAATATAAAATATGAATGGATACATGAAAAACATATACAATAAGAATAAAACAACACAATTGTACATTTGATATTCCCTGCCCTCTCAAAAATTATTCTCTTACATAGTGAACATTTCTTTGAGAGAAGTATCATATACATATATACATGTAGAAAACCATGACTTGGTTGAATTGCTGAGGTTAAAGACCCATAACAAAATAGGTTTTTCTCTTGTCAGTATTTAAGCCACTCCCTTCTAAGCATTAATTAATGTGTGAAGTTTTGGTTGTGGTTTCTAACTTTTTTTAAAAGGATGTGTTTCCAGATTTATTATTGGAAGCATCTGCTCATTTTGATTATCATTTTTATAACCCTCTTATTCATTTTAAGGTCCTTTATTATATAACTTAGAAAGCTGGCAGTTGGACATCCCCCAAAGGAGGCAGGAGAGGCTCCGGCCATTGCTGCTGCCCTCACCAGCTGTGAGCCCAGCTTCTGGCTGAGCGGTGCTCCCCCTGTGGGAGTGCACTGACCATGAGGGAGAAGCTTCTGCATTGAGCATCTGCCCCCTGGTGGTTAGTGCGCATCATAGTGATCGGTTATTCCTCCAGTGATTGATTTACATATTAGCCTTTTATTATCTAGGAGGGTAGCCTGAAGGTGACCATGACATTCCATACCAAGAAAACCTCTTATAAGCAAACATAAAAATATGCCTCAGACAGTTAAAACATACAGTACATTATTAAATATTAATTCTTTAAAGAGATGGCCTAGAGTTTCACCCAGACTTTCTGACAAAGAGGTCTGTAGATCATGGCCTACTAGAAGCTTGTTCATTTGAAAGTGCACCCCAATGGAAAAGAATGGAAAAATCTGTCACTGATATCATTGAAAACTCAGAATGAATCAAATAAAAGAGGATATTGATTCTGAAAACAGTTTATCCTCTCACCATGCTTTTAAGGATTTATCTTCTGCTTCCTCCTTGCCTAAAATGTCATAGAATACTGGCACCTTAATTGCTCCCAGACTCTGCAGTTCTGTCCTTTCCCAATAGGGGTCACAGTTGCATTAAAAACAGCACCAGTTGCAGCATTACTCTGCTGGGCCTGCATTCCTTCTCTATTTTCAAGAAATATATTTTTTTAAAGTCAGATATAAATATTATTTCTCTAAACTTTAAAACATTAAGAGTTAGTTGAAGAAAAACAGAATTCTGGAAGGACTGTTCTTTTGTCCACTATCTTCAGGGACATTTCATTGTACGTGACATTCTCGGAGGTTGGTATCAAAGTCCCAAAGTACGAAATGCATCTCGTAAATCATCAACTTCATAGAGGGGCTGTAGAGAAAGAGAGAGATTAACTGAGCGATGACTTTGTGACATTTTGGAAGGAACTGAGTTGGGAGGGAGGAGGAGAGGAGGGAGTTTTACCTGGAGGGAAATAAATGCTGAGGAGAGTCTAACAGAACAAAGACATGTGAGTGAGGAAGGAGAAGGAAAAGGCATCTTAGCAGAGGGTTCTGAATTGTGTAACAGAGGAGCAGACTCACAGGTAGGAGAATGACAACAAAGAGAGAGAGAGAGAGAGAGAATAAGGTTTTCATCAGAAGAAAAATAAGGAGAGAGTGATAAATGTACAAACACACACAGGAAAATGTAAGAAACAGAAGCAAAGATAATAGCCCCAGGGAAAGATGATGGAGAAAGAAAACGAGAAACAAAGGAGCCCCTTACCAAAAGGATGCGTCGAAGCTGCCGGGATAGACGCACTGAGTTTTCATGCAGCCCTTCCCAGGCTCTGAAAGTTCTTTCACGATTTTCCACAAAAGTATTCCAGCAATAAAAATAATCTGTAAAAAAAAGAAGAGGGAGAAGGTGTTACCATTATAGCTCAGATCCAAAATCAAGAGGAAATCATGAAACCTCCAGCCTCTTTTTAATCCTCATTCTTGTGTCCAAGCCATTCTTTCCCTCCAATTCTAGTTGATAACCTTGGGCTCCAAAAGGGAACTAGAATCCTGGTATTTTCTTCCATCCCTCAAGTTTCCCATCTCACTGTTTCAGTCTGACTTGCCATCCTGAATGACAGCCCTGAGCTGGCCAAAAAGGTCCCCCTCCCACTGGTACCTTTGAAGGTCATGATGGCGATCTGGACCCCCGCGCGGTGCAGCCTTCGCAGGCCCTCGGGCTCAGCCTTGCGGTCCTCGCAGAAGTAGAGGCGGGCGGTGAAGATCCGGAGACTGAGGTTGGGGTTCCCCCTGAGAAAGTCGGCCACATGCCGGGCACAGTCGTAGCAGGGGCTCCAAGAGGTGAACCAGGTGACGCGGTAACACCGGCCTGGGTCCAGGTCCCAGTCGGAGATGTAGCGCAGGAAGAGCAATTCCACGTGGCAGCCCGACTGCGGAGAGAGCAGAGAACGCGGCTCCTGCTTACCTGTGCCCATAGCTTTGCAGGCTTTCATTCATCCCCCTCCCACGAGGATCCTTTTTGGAGCGTCTACGGTTTTGTCCTTAGGTGACTGAAAGGTTAAACAACTGCCCGAAAAAGCAGAGGTGAGCCTTGGCCCTGCAGAGCGGGCAAAGGCTGTGGGTTTTGTGTCGCGTGGGGAGGACCAAGTGAGTGGAGGTTTTTTGTTTTGTTTTGTTTTGTTTTTAATTTATTGATTTTTTTTTACAGAGAGGAAGGGAGGGAAGAGGGAGATAGAAAGCTAGACACATCAATGAGAGAGAAACATCGACCAGCTGCCTCTTGCACACCCCCTACCGGGGATGTGCCCACAACCAACGTACATGCCCTTGACGGGAACCGAACCTGGGACCTTTCAGTCCGCAGACCGACACTCTATCCACTGAGTCAAACCGGTTTTGGCAAGTGAGTGGAGTTTGAATGGAGTAGCAACCCACTATCTCAGTAGAGATTTAATTTGTGTTTGTGAAGTTAGTTTTGTGACTTTGAGGAGGAGGAAAATGGCTTGTAAGTGCCTAGTGATGTTACAAACATACATGAAGTGTACATATGCACATCAAACACACAGGACCACTAGGTGGGAAATATATGGGTGGGAGAACTGGAAAAGGGAAGATGGGTGATGATGAGGCAGACAGTGAGTGTTGCAAGAGCAAATTAAATAATCTGTTTGCTCATTGTATGGTCCCTGTGATTGTAATAATATCCGCAATAGTGAGACATAGCAAGTCTACTTAGTATTGCAGAGAAGTCATAAGTCTTAGAATCTGAAGACCTTGGTTCCATTGCCCCTCATGTGCTAAATCAGTGTTTTTCAACCTTTTTTGGGCAAAGGCACACTTGTTTCATGAAAAAAATCACGAGGCACACCACCATTAGAAAATGTTAAAAAATGTAACTCTGTGCCTATATTGACTATATATAAAGTAATTCTCTTGAATAGGAATCAAATAAACACAAAGAAAGTATTTTATAATTACTTTATTATGAAATATTAAGTAAACAAAATAGTGAAAAATTATAAAATTCTTGTCTTGTCTGCACCTACGGCACACCAGGCAACATCTCGCGGCACACTAGTGTGCTGCGGAACAGCGGTTGAAAAACGCTGTGCTAAATCATTATCCAATTCTTGGATCTTCTAATCTTATCAGTAAAATAGGCGGTTGGGTGAGAAGAGATTAACCAACAAACTTGTATGCACCTATGCATAACCCATGGACACAGACAATAGCCTGGTGAAGGCCTGGGGCAGGCTAGAAGGGATCAAAGGTTCGATTCTTGTCAAGGGCATGTACCTTGGTTATAGGCACATCCCCAGTAGGGGGTGTGCCAGAGGCAGCTGATCAATGACTCTCTCATTGATGTTTCTAACTCTCTACACTGTATCTCTCTCCCTTCCTCTCTGTAAAAATCAATAAAGCATATTTAAATAAAATAAAATAAAATAAAAAAGTAAATTGTAATTTAAAAAAGTAAATAAAATAGGCCGGGCTGGTGTTTAAAGAAGTCAAGGGTGGCTATCAACAGAACCTTCTATAGTTAGCCATATCACCAAATAGAAGAGATTAGAAGGTAAAACAATGTGAGAAAATTTACACAGTACCGGGAGGCAAAGAGAACTAAATGGCAAAGTAAGCACTAATCAGTGCCATTCCACCCTTGGGTTTCCTGGGAACCCAAGACCAGATGTTATGAAAGAGGATGTATTCATTGGCAGAAGATTATGTAAACCCATCGGGATTGGGGTGAAGAAGTTTCCTGGAAATGTCATTCTCAAATGTTCTAGATGCCGAGAGACTGATTTAACCAACCAATTGAGACTTCCCTGTTTCTGGGGTGTGCCGTGTGCCATGCACTCCCTGGCCTATGCTCCCTGTGAGCAGGAGAGAACAGAGATCATTTGAAAAACAGAATTGGTCCACAATAATTTTTCATGAAAATTGCCCCCTTAATTTTCAAAAATTCTAAAGACACAATTTGTTTTTCACACTTAAAATTTAGCTTGAATGAGTTGATAATATCCCCCTAAAATCCAAAGCTCATCGTACCTTTGATTTCTTCCTTAATCTCAAAGGCAATTTGGATGCTGGGGTTAGGGGAGGAATGTTTGGGGGTAGTTATGTTATTCTTGGCATTGAAATAAGGTGTGGCATTAATGTGCCCGATATGGTGAAGAGAACATTAAATGATATCTTTTGGGCGGGGGGGGGGGGGCATATCTATTATGGTTGCAGGGACATGTAAGAAAGAAGAAAAATAGATTCGAGGAATCTAGTGGGAACAAATGCAAAATAGACTAAAAGTAGTACCGTTCGCAGGTAGGTAGCTCTAAAAGTGCTCACACTAATGAAAAGTGTTCGCTTTCAATGATCTGGGAAGCGAATATTAATTGATACCTTGTTTCGGAGGTGACCAAAGTCCAATGAAAAGGAGGTGGCACTGTCTCGCCGCTTCACCACATAGCACAGGTAGGTCTCATGGCGACCTTTTGCCCACCGGACGTTTTTGAAGTGGTAGAGAAACTTCCTCTGCTTCATCAGGAGGCTGTGGGAGAGAGGAGGAAGGAGTACAGCTCATTCTCTGGTCATTCATGGCTTTCCTTCCGCTGTTTCAAAATATGCAATGACTTGAGCCAAACCAGAGAAAATGCTCTTGTTTCAGTTACCGGAAGCCTGTGACCTCCTGAGCTTGGAATCCATGATAAACTCCTTTTCTGATTATATGTAAGACGCACTGAGAGATAGCAAGGACCCCAGAGCTATTTGAGCTCACAGGATCATCTCTTCCCACAACTATCTTCTAGATGCTGATAATTTAGAAGACAGACATGTTCCTCAGTCCCATAATTATATTTTCAGATTTCCTTTGCAATCTTAACCTAAAAGCCCAAACTGTACTTCAAACTCAAGATGGTCAAAACAGTATTCCTAACCTGCCCTCTTTCTGCATGTCCTGCCTCTTCTCCCTCTTCCCCATCTCAGATCATACTGGCATCATCTTTGCTTCTTCTCCCTCTTCATTCCTCGTACTTAATGATCTAAATGTATTGATTCAAACCTTCAGATATATATATTTTATTGATTTTCCCCCCCCTCTCCCAAACATACTCTCCCTCCCCAGAGTTTTATGTCCATTGGTCAAACCTTCAGATATTTTTAAATTTGTACCTGTTCTATTCCCTATTCTCTACATCAGTCTAATCCCTCATTCTTTCACTTGATCTGTTACCATGGAGGTCTCTCTACCTCCAAGTCCCTCCACAGTAACATTTTCCATGCTGTACCAGAGTGATTTCATCAAAGCCCAGGTATGGCCATGTCATTCCCATGCTGAAATATCCCTAACCACGGATTCTGTTTGGCTCACAGGATAAACTCCACACTCTTTAATGTGGTAGTTAGGCCAGTTTTTACATGGGACATCAATCTACATTTCTGGCCTCCCTTCCTACTATGTCCCTCTTTCCCTGCCATGTTAGGCCCCTTCCTACTGCAGGGCCCTTGGCACTAATCTCCTTTCCTCTTTATTTCTAGATATCTTGCTGATGGCACTTCCTCTAAGAGCTTCCCTACCCTTTTCCATTGGGCAAACCTACCTATCCTTCAAAACCTAACCACAGTTTCAACTGTCCTAGTAAGATCTTTCCGACCACCACTATCCCAAGATTACTAAGCAAAAATCAAACAATAACAAGAACCTCTCTGTAGTTTCCCATTGTCACCCATTTTGTTGCTATCAAAGCATTCCTCCTCTGTTATCAATTGCTTGCTGATATCTGTCTCTCCAATTAGACTCTGTCTGTGTGTGTGTGTTTTTAAATAGTTTTTACTGATTTCAGAGAGAGGAAGGGAGAGAGAAAGAGAGAAACATCAATGATGAGAGAGAATCATTAATCTGCTGAGAGAATCATTGATCCATTGCTTATTGCATGCCCCCTACTTGTTATTGAGTCCAAAACCTGGGCATGTGCCCTGACCAGGAATCGAACCACAAACTCCTGGTTCATGGGTCAATGCTCAACCACTGAGACACACCAGGCAGGCTAGACTCTGTTTTGAAAGTGTCACTTTATGATATGTATATATATTGATATATATATATATAATATGTATAGTTAAAAGTATAAGAGCAATATTTGAGGGTTTTCACCTTAAATACTACAGAAAAGTAAAAAGTTATAAAATTTAAAATATTAAAGAATTTTACAATTTGAAATATCAGTGTCTAATGACAATTACTGTTAAAATTATGTTTTTCCTTCTGGTCTTTTGCAAGATTATATATACATGATTTTGATTAGACTGATTTCATGTGTAATTTTTGTATTCTGCTGCTTTTTTAACTTGACAATGTGATCTAAATATTATGCTATGTTCACACACAGGGTCCAGTCTTTTTTCTGTTACCTAGTTCCTAGGACAGTGTCTTGCATATCATAAGCACTATATTGAATTGGATGTGTAGAAATACTCTCTGCTTACTCAAAATTCTTTGCAGTGGTGAACATAACACACGATACAGTGTGGTTGATCCCAAAGCATTCATGGTGTCTGATTTTTATCCTACTAGTTGTCTTTTTCAGAAATGTATTTATCCAATTTGTGAAAATAATGCTGCCACCTAATGGCATTAGGCAGAAGTGCAAAGAATTTGTAAAAATAAACACCCAGTTAGGGATTTGAATACCGTTTGCTGGCAAGAGAATTGAAACTTTTTTTTTACTTTTAGTTTTTTACATTGAAGTATAATTTACATACTTCACCCATTTAAAATGTACAGTTCTATGAATACTGGCAGATGTAAATACCACAAGCTGCTACCACAATCAAGATATAGGACACTGCTAGGGTACCCCGCCCCCAAAGTTTCCTCATTCTCTTTTTCCCATTGGTTCTTTACTTCTCCCACAGGCAACTGATAATCTGATTTCTGTAACTAAAAATTACTTCTCATTTTCAGAATTTCATATGATTCATACATTGTCCCTTCCTTTGTGTCTGAATTCTTTGACTTGGCTTAATGACCTTGGGATTTACTCATGATGTTGCATGTATCGGTCGGTTGTGCCTTTCCAGTGCACAGCAGTATTCCATCGCAGGGATAGAGCACATTTTGTTGATACCCTCCCCTGATACTGGACCTGTGGATTGTTTCTACTTTGGGGCTATTTTGCATAAAGCTTCTGCAAATATTCATATGCCAGTCTTCGTGTGGACATGTGTTAAGAATATTTATTTTAATAAAGTGATACATGTGGTATATAACTGAATTTAAAAGTTAAGTACTCAAATGTCAATCTTATTAAGTTAATAAACAAGGACAAGAGCTTTTTATAGCTGCCACAATTTAAATGTATCAATTTATACACATGGAGCTTATTAGAATTCCCTTTAAATGCCGAGGCAGAGAACTAAACTTATGGCCGATATACACATTATGAATGGCAAACAATAGAAAAATCAGGCAGTTACATCATTGTAGAATTAAAAATGCATATTTGGCAAAGATCTTAAATGGATGGTAACAGATATCTGATAATTGGCTTTATCTTAAAATGAAAGTGATTTATTATGATAATCATTACTATTACTGTGGTTATATACTTATCATATAACTAGAGGCACACTGCACAAAATTTGTGCACCTGGGGTGTGTCCCTCAGCCCATCCCGTGCCCTCTCACAGTCTGGGGGCCCTTGTGGAGATATCCAACTGAGGGCTTAGGGCACATGTGTCAAACACAAGGCCCGCGGGCCAAATCTGTCCCGCCAGGCCTTGCAATGTGGCCCGCACCACGCTGTCATCACTGCACTCCACTGCGTTTCCATCACAATGACAGTTTATGACTCTTCAGTAAACCATTCGGCCCGCGATTTAGGCTGGATTTTAGATTTTGGCCCCTTCTCTGATTGAGTTTGACACCCCTAGCTTAGGGCCTGGGTGGCAGGCCTAAACCAGTAGTAGGGCATCCTTAGCGCTGCTGCAGAAGTGGGAAAGGCTCCTGCACTCACCAGCCTTGAACACAGCTTCTGCATTGAGCATCTGCCTCCTGGTGGTCAGTGCACATCATAGCAACCAGGTTCTATCATTCAGTCGATTTGAATATTAGCCTTTTATTATATAGGATAACCCAAAGCATATGTAAATTGAATACATAACAAGTGCTTAATAAATACTGAAGAGAAAGAAAAAAAAAATCTCTTTAAGGCCCAATCAGTTTTAGATAGGTTAAGCATCATCTTGTACTAATAAGTTCCTTTTAGATTTAACCTACCCTTCTGGGCTGCGGGGAGTAGAAAGGCTGGAATGGGGCAGGAGGAGGGGGTATGGGAACTATATCATGCACTGAAGCCATTGTGGCAGGGACCTGTTACCATGCAGACAAAGTGTTCTGAAAGTTATAGAAAATGACATGACCTAGGTAAAGGAATTCAGACGGACTTTTACTTCGCACTCCACAGGAAAAGCCAATAGCTCTACACTGTTTCAGAAGTTGCTAGTCACATTGAAGTGAATTGCATGACCATGACCTATTAGTTAACTTGCTTGATCCATCATTCCCTTCAGCTGTAGCGAGGAGCCTGTTTCTAGCACCTTGTTCTTCTCTGGTTTCTTTTCTGGGCACAAGGGACTTTGCAGAGGCAGTCTCCCCCCCCCCCCCCCCCTCCAGATTGACAGCTGTTTGCACAGCTGTACTCCCTGAGGCAGAACACTAGCAGCACCCCCAGCGATGCAAACCTGGAGGCAGACAGGTTAAAAATAACCGTGACAAAGCCCTCCTCTCCTGCCCGGTACCGTCACTAATGGGCTCTCAGATATTATTTTCCTGAATGATAATCACACATTTCCCTTTTCCTCCTACTGAATTGCATCTTTTCTCCTTGTTTATTTGTCTTTCTCTGAATTTCTACTATCGATTTTGCCACTGTTTTGCAATTCATTATACACAAGTATCTCTACTGAGTCCTTTACCTCTGACCTGTACCTCAGATTAGTTTTCAAAATTTCACTGAAACTGAGCAGACATTCATTCAACATGTTTGCTCTCCAGAAAATTTTCTGCCCTGGCTGGTTTTCTCAGTGGTTAGTGTGCCAGCCTGTGGACCCACGGGTCCTGGGTTTGATTCCTGGTCCAGGGCACATACCTTGGTGCAGGTTCCCCAGCCCCAGTAGGGGTGCATGCAGGAAGCAACTAATCAGTGTGTCTCTTTCACATCAATATTTCTCTCTCTCTGTCTCTTCTCCCCTCCTCTCTCCCTTTCACTCTCTCTGGAAATCAATGAAAAAAAAAAAAAAAATCCTTGGATGAGAGTTAAAAAAAAAAAAAAATTTCTTAAGAACACTTAAGCTGCCATTAAAAGTCTTAATTGTGTTGTGTACATTCTTTGTAATAGGTGAATTGACATAAAGTATATAGATTAGGTATCATTCTCTTAACATTTATAATAATCATAAAAACAGGAATAGACTAAGTTCTGTGATAGTAATTTAACTGACATAAACTGCATGCGAAGACATTGTGAAAAATCTTACAGAATACACACAGAAAAAGTAAGTTCAGCCACATCTAAAGAGATTGAAAGACTAGGTAAATAGTAAAAATGCCATTCACTGCCTAACAATTGGACATAAAACATTAAATAATTTGCTTGACTGAATTTTCCTCCTTATTATAGACACAATCATAGTGACTTTTAAGTAATTAATTTTTAATATTGGCATTTAAAAAATAATTTCCTCACTATGTAACAAAGTTATTCAGTAGAATCTCCCTAGGAAAGTTTATCTTCAAGTGATTTTTATAGTTGAATACTTACAAAATTATTACCGCAATGGCCACTACTGTTTTTAGTGTAGTATTGCTGTTTTCTTTTCATGATTTGAGTCTATAACCATTTACTGTGTTGATATAATTACCACAAACTAGTTATAACTGCAGTACAAATCTCAGAACAAGTCAATATATGGTCAAAAAGCTCTTCTGAATATGGAAGAGAGAGAGAGAGAGAGAGAGAGAGAGAGAGAGAGAGAGAGATCCGAACAGATGAGACAGAACCAGAGAAATAAATCTGCATGTCGACCAGGCAGATCTTGTAAATCAGATAGTGATAAAAAAGGGATAGGTACCAATCTCATTACTCAGATTTGCTCTGGGAGAAAAGCCAATGCAGCTACCCAAGAGGAGACTGTCCTTTTACCTGTCCATAGTAGGTTCCAGTGTGTCTTTCTTGGCTCCCCAAAAGTCTTAGGCCGAGGAATGCTTGCCTCAAGCACGGTTGCTTCACTGACTGATAATGCATTGGCCCTACACATTCAAATTTGAGCTTACCATTTTGGGCTCCTCCCTCCACAGCATCACCACCAGGTACCCCAAAGGCCTTCCTCCTGTTTGGGTCCAGTGAAGATGGGTGGGGCTGACATAGGCAGAGTCACACGGGTAAAATGACTGAGGGCCGTTCTGCGTAATGTGTAGGTTTCTTTTGGTCTGCCTCTCAGTCCATGCTCCACAGGTAACAGATCAGGAGACAGGTAGACACAGTATATTTTAATTATGGTAATGAATAATATCTTGAATTTAGAAAACATAATACTAGCAATGTTCATTGAAATAGCATCTTGTGTTCTGTGAGCTGAAAGCGTCTATTTCCTCATTTAGTTACACAGTTTCTCTGAATCAATAGAAAAGTCCACTAATAGTCCTGGTTTGTGACTAAGTAAGCTCACTCAGTTATGTAGGACATGGAAATTTTTGCCTCTCAAACCACTGATTTCTAATGTTCTAAACCAACTTAGCTACCCGGCCAGGGCTGGCAGTCTTACTTGATTGCTCTATTCCTTTTTTTTTTTTTTTTTTTTAATATATATTTTATTGATTTTTCTACAGAGAGGAAGGGAGAGGGATAGAGAGTTAGAAACATCAATGAGAGAGAAACATTGATCAGCTGCCTCCTGCACACCTCCACCTGGGGATGTGCCCGCAACCAAGGTACGTGCCCTTGACCGGAATCGAACCTGGGATCTTTCAGTTTGTAGGCTGACGCTCCATCCACTGAGCCAAACCTTTTTTGGCTGCTCTATTCCTTTTAAATCCCATGCCCAATCTATTAGCAAATCTTGCTAACACTCTGCTTATAAAGTGGGCCACTTCTTATCATCTCCAAGCAGCCTGAATTAATGCACCGAGCCTCCCAACTGGTCTTCCTGCTTTCGTCCTTCTTCAGTTACTGTCTATTCTCCATGGTGCGATCAGAGTAAACCTTTCCAAACATTGGCTGCATATATCGGGCAAATTCAATAAATGGCTTATGCAACAAATAACCTTTCTCTCACAAAAAAATATAGACAGTTGGTCAAATAAGTAATTAAATCTAAATCTAATAGAAACATGGACTTTAAGCTCTTTCTTTTATCAAAAGAGCATCTGGCCCTGCTGGTATGGCAAAGTGAATTAATCATCATCCCATGGACCAAGAAGTCTTGGTTCAATTCCCAGTGAGAGCACATGCTTGATCCCCAGTAGGGGGCATGTAGGAGGCAGCACATCAATATTTCTCTCTTATTGATGTTTCCATCGCTCCATCTCCCTTCTTCTCTACTTAAAAATCAATTTTTTAAAAAACATATTAAGCCGAAACCAGTTTGGCTCAGTGGATAGAGCACTGGTATGTGGACTGAAAGATCCCAGGTTCCATTCTGGTCAAGGGCATGCACATTGGTTGTGGGCACATCCCCAGTAGGGGGTGTGCAGGAGGCAGCTGGTTGATGTTTCTCTCTCATTGATGTTTCCTAGCTCTCTATCCCTCTTCCTTCCTCTCTGTAAAATATCAATAAAATATTTTTAAAAATAAAAAAATATTAAAAGTATCTGTTGACCACATCTTTAGCTGGAATGTTTTCTTCATCTCTCAGTTCAATGATGAATCTCATGAACCTCATCCAAAGGGAAATAGAATTATGCATATTTGGAAACATAAGACCAGGCCGTATGGGAGAGAATATTAGAAAGGTGACTATTGAGTTAATGTCTCCAAATTGTTTCTAAAGCAGAATTATTTGTGGATATTTATTTATCCAATTTTATAAAGTAGATTTGATAAGGTGTTGGCAAAATCTAATAAATACACACAAAATACTCATTCTTCTGTAATACCTTCTTTCTTGAAAATCTTACCTTTTAGTGCATAGACTACATAAAGAAGACTCCAACATATATGTTTTAGATATTTAGTATTTGAAAATAAAAGTTCTGGAAAGCAAAAGGTTCTGTTGTGTTTATTTTTATTGCCCCCTTTGGGGGCAATTCACAAAGTGCTTTTATAAGTGATTAATAAACGCCATCTTTGAAAACTGAAATTAATTCATTTACTATTTATTAGAGACTTATTTTGAGAAAGCATAAAGCTAAGCTTTGAAGGGAAACAATGTTGTACATTATAGTTCTTTAAGGAATTTATAATTTTGCTAAAAGCTTTAAAAATAGACAACACCACCCTAGCCAGCTTGGCTCAGTGGATAGAGCATCAGCCCACAGACTGAAGTTTTGTGGATTTGACTCCAGTCAAAGGCACCTACCTCAGTTGCAGGCTTGAAACTCTATTCCCGGTCAGGGTGCATGCAGTAGGCAACCAATTGATGTGTCTCTCTCACATCGATGATGTTTCTCTCTGTCTCTTCCTTTCCATTCTATTCTCTCTAAAATTCAATAGAAAATATCCCCAGGTGAGGAATACAACAACAAAAACAGACAATACTTAAATGACAATATAAAAGAATCAAATGTTAATAAAAGACAAATCTGAAAATTGCAAAATCATAGCATCTCAAAGTTGAAGGAACCTTAGTGTTTATTTAGTAGCCCAGTTCTTCTTTAAATAGTATATGCATGTCTGTAGACAGACCTATGCCTGGCAATAGATCTAGGAGTTAGTCAAGGCCTGGGTAAACATCTCATGCTATCCTAAAATGTAAATTGTCCAAAGATTAGAAGAAACCAGTACTTTTTATATTATAAAAATATTTGGCTCAGTGGTTGAGTGTCAACCTTGAACCAGGAGATCACAGTTCGATTCCTGCTCAAGGCACATGCCCTTGTTGTAGTCTCAATACCCTATAGGGGGCATGCAGGAAGCAGCTAATGGATTATTCTCTCATCATTGATGTTTCTATCTCTCCTTCTCCCTATCTGAAACCAATAAAAATATATTCAAAAAAAGAAAAAAGTTATTAAAGAGGTATGATTTGTCAAGCATAAGAAATAACTTTTATTTCTCCAAAAGTTGTATTCTCTTGCACACTTTTCTTTTAAAGGAGAGAAGGAGTGCATGCAGTAGGCAACCAATTGCCTACTGGTTTTTTATGTTATACCCCATTGGGGGCAATTCACAAAGTGCTTTTAGAATAGCATCTTGCACTTCTAGAATAGCATTTTGCACTTCTGGGTATTTGAAATAAACAATTTTATGGGGTTTCTCTCAGCTATTTTTAAAAGTTATTTTTCTCACTAACTACCCTCTCCCCTTACCAACTTCTCTTGAAAAACCCCAGGACAACCTGGCTAGCTTATTTTTAGCAAAAGCAACCTGACTTGGAAATTTAGATGGTGAGGTAAGCCTTGGACATCTGGACTTCGCCGCTGCTAACCTTCACCACGAGAAGCACGAAGTGAGGTTTCACTATGGCCAGTATGTGAGCCCAGAAGGGCCTCCTGGGACTCCTCCAGGGAGTACATTCCTGTGTCTGAAAGCCAAGATGCTCAGACATTGACTCCCCAGCCCACTATTTTTGGACACCAGGTAGATTGTTCAATACGATACTTTGTTGTTATTGAAAGAGTCCCAAAAAAGAGTCTGTGTGGGTGAAAGCTGATTTTTGGAGTGCTTCAACTTCTGCTTTTCCTGATTTTTGTTTTTCTCAGCTTATTGCCAGCTACCTTGCTGGGGTATGAAGAAGTTGAGGGACAGATCTTTAATCATATACAGGAATTACTCAACTTCTGCTATGCGGCTGCCTAAGACTTATTGAGGTTAAGAGAGCAACTAAGCAAGCATTCATCAAAAGCCTCGCATGGGCAAAGGGCTAAAGAAAGTTATTTTTTTTTTTATGAGAAAATTAATTAAGGAGGCTTCATTGATCAAGCACATACAATATATAGTAGAGGGTAGTGGGAAAAGCTTGGTTTTGTAGTCACTAACCCTTGAGTTTTATCTCGACTAAAGTGTCTTTGACTATTGCCTAATACCCTAGGTTTTATTTTTTCTATGTGTAAATGTGAACAAATAATTGTGATAACAGCTAGCCTTTACTATGCCAGGTTCTTTGCTAAGCATACTGAGTATTATTATTATCCCAACAGGTAGGGGTTATTATCCTAATTTTCAGACACTGAGGCTCAAGAGTTGAGACAATTATCTTGCAGGATTGTTGCAAGTAATGCAAACAAGTGAGTCACATGTTGCCTAGTGCATGGAAGAAATTCTATAAAGAACCACTGTCGCCGAAACCAGTTTGGCTCAGTGGATAGCACGTCAGCCTGCTGACTGAAAGGTCCCAGGTTCGATTCCAGTCAAGGGCATGTACCTTGGTTGCGGCACATCCCCAGTACGGGTTGTGCAAGAGGCAGCTGATCGATGTTTCTCTCTCATTGCTGTTTCTAACTCTCTATCCCTCTCTCTTCCTCTCTGTAAAAAATCAATAAAATATATTAAAAAGAAAAAAAAAAAAAGAACCACTGTTTTCACAAAGTATCCTATGTAATAAAAGGCCAATATGCAAATTGTCCCCTTGACTAGGAGTTCAACCAGTGGGTGGGGCCAGCTGGCCAACTGCCTGTGGCCAGCCCTAATGGCCCAATCTCCGCAGGTCGGTCAGACCCCACCCATGCACGAGTTCATGCACTGGGCCTCTAGCTCTCTTAACAATCTACATTTATAAAAGAGAAACATGCAAATTGACCATCCTTCAGCCCACAGGCCAACACTCTGTCCACTGAGCCAAACGAGCTAGGGCTTAAATGTTTTTGGATGCTGAAAAAAAAAATTTAATTAAAAACCTTGAACTGTAGAGAAACACCCCTTGCTGGTTTCCAAACCTGCATACTCATTGGTTAACCAGCAAAAATCGCCTCTGTTTTGTCATATAGGAGAAAAAAATAGAGTCAACCTATTCAAGAACAGTTAGAGAAACCAGTCAGCCTAAGTAGAAAAATATGTCCTATAGTTTTATTAACTATATAATATTATAGGTGTGAAACCTCTGAAAAACCTGATCTTGTTACTTCTCAGAATGACAGATGTGTTGCCAGCAATTTATAGTTGAGAAGTTATTCATTTAATATTACATAATTTGTGAGTACTATGACAGGACTGGCCCTGATATGAACACAAATAATTTTAAAACATAATAAAGAGAGGTCAACTTGTTGTTCCACTTATTTATGCATTCATTGATTAATTTTTGTATGTGTCCTGACTAGGAAACGAACCTACTACCTTGGCATATGGGGAAAATGCTCTAGCCAACTAAGCTACCCTGCCAGGGGACCAATTCTTCCATATATTAAGATGAACAGGATGATATAAATATGTTTTATTATCCTAGAGCTATGTTGAT